TGTAGGGGACTCAGGTCAACAATTTCTGACATTGCCAGTCAAGCGGAAGACCCAATACTATTATGGGCTACTGGACTCTTTCAGAATATTTTGCTGAGTTTACACACCTATAATATTCAAATAATGGAACTTAACCAAAAAAGGGGATACGGATGAATGTCCATTTTGTATCTGTGTATTCAAAGTGGGTAGGATAGATAAATAGTTGCATTCTCTTAATGAATACAGTGATTTGTTCTAATGGTGTTAGGATATCATGTCTGCATCTTGTACAGCAATTAACCACTAGGAAGAAGGTATGCAATGTGTTAATTATTGAAACTGTCCTAGCAATTGGATTTGAAACTGTCTCATTGCTATTTGTTTATCAATAAAATTATGGGAAAAAATGGTTAGGGTAGATATATAGTTACATTCTCTTAATGAATAGAGGGATTTGTTGTAATAGTGTTTGTAAAAAGGATCATGTCTGCATCTTGCACAGCAAATAAGCACTAGAAAGACTGTATGCAATGTGTTAATTATTGAAACTGTCCTACCAATTTGATTTGAAACTGTCTCATTGCTATTTGTCTCTCAATAAAATTATGGAAAAAATAAAAATAAAATAAAACTTTAAAAAAAAGCTAAACCTATAAAGATTCTAGAAAACAATATACATAGAAAATCATTACCAGCTGGGGTGTTTTCTTAGTTAATATATAACATATATGCCAAATGAGATAAAACTGATAAATTCATTTTTATCCAAATTACAAACTTTCAAAGCACAAGGTACTCTGTTTGATTCCTGGTACACACACACACACACACACACACACACACACACACACACAGTATTTGGTACAGGAACTCACTACACAGCTCAGACTTGTAGTGATCCCCCTATTTTCAGCCTCCGAGCACTGGGATTACAGGCGGGTACCACTATACCCTGTGCTGGTGGCCAGCTCAGCATGCCTGGGGGCAGAGCTGGCAGGGCCTGTGGTGCTGGGAATGAACCCCAATCCCCGCACTTGCCTAAGCAGGTGCTTAGTCCACTGAACTGTTCTGTCAGCCCTAAAAATTTTTATTTTACAAACTTTCAATTCTCAAAACCCTCATATTGTTAGGAAAATAAAATTCAAGACACAACCTGGGAGAATACTCACAACATACTTATCTTAAAAAAGGACTTGTTTTTAGGAGGGACTGGTTTTATTTTGTTTTGTGCTTTAAAGAAAAAAAGACCTTTCAGGGGCTGGGGAGCTAGACCATTGGTGTAGTACTTGCCTGGCATGCATAAAGCATTGGATTTTATTGCAAGCACTGTGAGTGCATGTGTGTAGGTGTGTGGGTGTGCATGACTTGTTTCCAGAATATATAAAGATGTGGGCAAACATTTCACAATAAGGTATATAAATGGGCAATAAACATATGAAAAGGTGCTACGAGAAACATCAACCGTTAGAGAAACACAAAGTATAATTGAGAACCATGAGTATCAAAAAGAATAACTAAAATTGAATGCTGGGAAGGGTGTGGAATAATTCCAACACTCATGCATTCCAGAGTGTAAAAATGTTCAACTATTTTGAAAAGCTAGCTTTTTTTTTAGGAAGTTAAACACACTCCTACTCTATGACCCAGAAATTCCACTCTAGGTAATTATCCAAAAGAAAGAAAACATTGTCTCCAAAAAGGCTTGTGTATAAATGTTTACAGGCTTCTTATTCATAGTAGTCAAAACTGAAAACAACACAAATGTCCATTAACAGACACTGAGCAGATCTGAATCGATAAGCAATTGTGCTTTATTCACACAATAAACTACTACTGCTCAGCAATGACAGGAACTATTGAGACTCTGTAACAAGGATGGTCAGAGTCCAAGAAACTAGACATAAGAAAATATAAAGTATATACTATTACACAGAATTTGAGAACAGACAAATTACCATAGAACTCAAATAAATTGTAGCTGGAAAAGAGAGGAGAATAACAAATAGCAGAAAGTTACCAAGGAACTTCCTAGAGTGATGTTAATATCAGATACATGGACTGGGTCCTGGTTATGATAGTGTACTGTTTTCAATCCTCAACTGAACATTTAGAAACTGCTCATTTCACTACATGTAAAATTTATCTAAATCTTTTAAAGCAAAGGGCAAAAGAGTAATCAATGTCCAATAGTTTTTTTCTCTCTTCTGTTAAAAAAATTCTTGTAAATCATAAAACAGCACTAGAATTAGCACAAAATACTTTAGAAAAAAGGTTAATCTTAAATGATCAACAACTTCCAAATTTAAATTTCAAATACCTTTCATGGTGAAATTTAAAAATCTGTTCCTAATAAATAATATACTTAATTTCATTACTGAAATAGTAACAAAAATACATAAACACTAAGGTTTTTCAGAACATAGTTCAAAAATATCAAGAGTATCTAGAGGTTCTATAAATTCAACCCACTTTAAAAAAAAAAAAAAAGAATTGCAAGACATCAGACAAGAAACAAGGAAAAAACCAAGCACACCCTCAATCCATGCATAGAGTCTCTTGCTCCCAGCCTGATCTCTCTAGTGCTATCAACCTAAATTCTTCAACCCTAAAGTATATTCTCTAGGAACACGCTAGAGCGACTTACTCACAAAGTAACAAACACTTCAGCATTTTAATCCAAAGTTCTGTTTCCTTTAGGATCATGCCATCAAACTGTCACTCTCCATTCTTTCCCAGTCTCTGAGTTACTCCATTGAGGGCTTGAGACCAGCTTATAAAATTTCTACACATCCATCTCCAATGACTTATAACTTCTTTTAAACCAATCCACCTGCCCATTAATATTCCTTCAGTTTCTCAACTCCGATCTTCATTCATATCCAAACAACCCACTGTAGAGACTACAGTAATATGCAAAGTCTTGAACTGTAAAATTTCAGTAGGCTGTAGCTTTTCAACTTGTTCTCTATCACTGTAACAGCTGTTCTCTGGGTCCATCACATCTCCAAGATCTGTAATCCTCTTATTTCTATTTTTTAATACCAATCATTTCTCATTTTCCTCTTACAGGCCTCATTTCAATTACTTTCCTCATCAGGACCCTCTTCTTTCTCCCATAATTCTGTTATACTTACACCAACTCAGAAAACACCCCTACTGCCTGTTTTCTCTGGTGCCATAAATGCATACTGCAAAATCCTGAATGAAACTACTCCAACAAATAAGTTACTGTATTACAAAATGATGCATCATCAACAAATAAACATAATTTGGAGCCCTGTGATCTAAATGTCTATGGATATTTACTGGCCACCAAAATAAGCTGTAAATTTAAAATTCAACGCTCGCTGGTGAGATAGCTCTGTGGACTACGTGCCTGCCTAGGCAAGCCCAGGGACTGGGATTTGATCCCCAGCACCACATGCCACACCAGGCCTGCCCCCGAGTACACTGGGCTGGCCACCAAGACTGTGTGATGGTGCACGCCTGTAATCACAGCATGGGCAGACTGAAAAGAAGGATCACTACATGTTCAAGCTGTGTAGTGAGATCCTGTATCAAATACATAACAATAAGTAAATAAATAAAATGCACTGCTCTAGATTGAAATTAAAATTAGAATACAATCATTACATAGTTGTTTTGTAGCTACAAGCTTTGTTTTCTAACTATAAGCTTTGAAAACATTTGTTTTAAAAGAGAGATTTCTTTACTAACATTCCCAATATAAAAAGGTTCAAACTTCAAAGGAACCATTCAAATTATATTCACCTTTTCATATACTGCATTTGGGAACACAGTCTGATCTGTTGTAAGAGACGTCCCTCTAGCACTGGTCAGCTTATAAGTGGTTAGTAAGTAACAGTACAGTATAATATTGGAGTTAAGCCGGTTCACATATGAATTCTTCCAGACAAAGGGGCTCTAGAAATGCAGAAAGAGAATTAAAATTTTCACCAGGAAAGGCTGCTGCCAAGCAAGACTTCTTTTCGTTCCATTGCAAGAATATTAAAAATGATCATCATTTGCACCCACTGTCCCTCCTCAAAAGTATGTTCCAGCACCCCTGCAAGCGCTACTTCCTCCCGTGCCTACCTCTATGGCAGCTCCACTGGCTTACAAAGTTACTTTAATTTGCACTGCCTCAAGACCATACAGGCCTGTGATTTCCATTTTCTTAGATTTTAATAACTTTTACTCTCGTCTGTGGCAGACTCAGCCACACTAAGTGCTTTGACTGGATTACTCAAGTTATCTCATAAGGTACCAATTATGCTTTTGTTAGTACTCTGGTTTGAAAATTGCAGAGGTCTTGAGTGGTCTGCTCTTAACCTTATTTTTCCCATAAGTCTTGTTATTTTTAGTGAAAAAGCAACCTTTAAGGTTTTTTTCAGTAACACATTTGATATTACAACAGAAATGCTTAAATTATTTAAACATAAAACAATGTTGAGCAGCATATGGCAAGCACACTATATATAAAGATTCAGAAATATGCTATTTACTCTGTTTTTCCTTGATAGTACTGGGGACTGATCCCTGGGAAGGTCTACTACTGAGCTAGATCTTCAGCCCTCTGCTTTTTAAGACAGGAGCTCACTAAGTTGCCCACATTGGACTTGAATTTGGCTATCCTCCTTCCTCAGCCTCAGCCTTCAGGGAAGCTGGGATTACAGACATTCAGCTATTTACATTCTTTGACCTGGTAATTACACTAAAAATCTACCATAGGGAAATCAAAGACAGGCATTCATTTCCTGTAAGAAGATATTAATTAAGATAATTAAAAGTGAACAAAATAAATTACCCGCAACAAAGCAGCAATTAATAAATTATAATATATCCATTCATAAAGAACAACAGTTTTCAACATTTTTCTTTCTTTATGGGAGAAAGAGCTGATACCCCCATCAAATAATCAAATATATTTATGTGACACACTCAGCAACCCTTTTCTAAAGAGGTTTTAATGATAAAAATAAGTAACTAATAAAAGACTATGATACCATTAGTGGAACTGTTCTAAATAAATAATGAACCAAGCTCAGTGGCATAAGCATTTGCCTGGCAAGCACAAGGTCCTGAGTTCTATCCCCAATACCACACCCCTTCAAAAAAAGAAGAAAATAGGCAAAGATGAACTATATACAACAAATCTTCAAAAATGTCTAGCACCTGAAATAGTTGCTGCTTATTTCAGGTGCTCAATAAATGTCTACTAAATTAAAGTTAAATATATATGTTGTACATTACGTTTTTAAACAAAGAAATACCAAAAAACATTAATAGTAGTGAATAACTGCTGGCTTAAAGTGGGTTTTACTGTATGCTTATATTCTGTTTCCTTCTTTTTTTTTTTAATTTTGCTTTTGTTACTGAGAATCAAACTCAAGACCAGCAGGTGCTTGTGGTACTGAGCTATACCCCTGGCCCCTATTCTTTTTCTTCACATAAATTTTCCATGAAATATAACCAGAATAAAAAGTTTGTTTTCAAACACATTTAAAGAAATGCACATATACCTCAGAGCAATTCAGAAAAAAATTAAATTACTGCCCCCAAAAATCCATGAAATTTGATAAAAGCTAAAGAAAAAGCTCATTCTCCTTAAAAAAAAACAATTAAAAAATCCCCACATTCTCCTAAAACATTATCTTTTGTACACCAAGAGTAATACTAGTAATGATAAATGATTACTGATAGAAATCTTTTCCCTCCAACTTTCCCTTAAAATATTCAGACTTTAAAATATTTTTTTGACAAAATACTACGGACTGAAAAGAGAGGCTATATATAAAGGCAAGCTTAGGAAAGAACCTCCATGCAACACATGGACAAATGAGGCTGAAATGAGAAGACAATTTTTGGATTCCTACACTCACTATTCTGAATGAGAGCAACATGTAAACCCTTAAAATGATAGGAAATGGAATAAAGATTTAATTTTGGAAAGAACATGGAGAAGGCAAAGAATTCTATTTCTAGACAAAATCTGATCACATGCAAAGAAAACAGATTCTCAGATGGCCTCAGAAAACACATCAATTAGGCATTCTTCCCCCAACAAGACTGCTCCAGAACATACAGAGGTGACTAAAACTTTTGTTTTCAAGAGGGAACAAAGATTCACTTTATGTAGTTTGCTTCATGATGATGGCATAATAATCATGAATCTTTATTGCTCTAAATCAAAACTTAAAGCCTACAAAAACATGGTAAAAATGTAAAGGGAACCTAACATCAAGTACAATTATGGTTCAAAACTAGCATTTAGAGGATGTGATTTAAACCCATAATTAATCTGATTATAATGAATACATACATCCAGATGGTAACCTATAGGAAATGCATCTTCTTCCAACCATTCATAAGATAATAATAAAAAGTAATCAGCTATAAGCAAAACCGCAAGTCATTTCTTAAAGCAGAAAATGTGTAGACCATAATTTGACCACCAGGCAATGGAAAGGAGAGGCAGACAGGAAAAACAGCATCTGGAGTCTGCTATATGCTCTATCTCAAAGAATTACCTATACTCTTAATCCTAACAAAATACATAAAGAAAAACAAGAATATATGAAAAAAGGATTAGAAAATTATTTGCCAAAAACTGGCAATCCGGTCTGGTAAGAAGGCTCAGTGGTCTAAAGCACCTACTTAGAACAAGCTTAGCAAAGCACAGGGACCGCAGTTCAATCCTCCACCACCACATGCCAGCCAGCCCCGCCCCCTGGTGGGCTGAGCTGGCCACACACACACACACACATAAAGTTCTTTAAAAAAAAAAAAAAAATTGGCAATCCATGTTTGTTTGTTTATTGTATTTAGTACAGGGTCTCACTACATAGATCAGACTCCTGTAGTGATCCTGTTTTCAGCCTCCCAAATGCTGGGACTACAGGCGGGTGCCACCACATCTACTCTCCATCACCGTCTCAGCACACCCCAGGTTTCAAACTCCAGTCCTTGAGTCTGCCTAAGCAGGCACTTTAGCCTGCTGAGCTATCTGGCCAGCCCAGCAGTGCATGTTTAAATACTTTATAATACATTTCTTTCTTACCATCTTGTATATTTTCTGAGTAGTTTATAAAGTGAATGTTTTACCTTAGCAAATATTAAATAAAAAGTATTGTGAACAAATTTTTGAAAGAGATAGTCTATAGAAAACAGCATACTTTACTCTGGAATTTAATCTTTTTTTTCCTTTCCTTCCTTATCACATGCTCAAAAAATTTTTAAAAAGTAAAAGACAAATGAAGAGAAGTTGAAAATAATCACTCCTTTCTGTTATTAGTACTTTGAATGTATCAATAACCATCAAATGCAGACAGAAAGCAGGAAGAGTGGACAGTAGGGCGAACACTGCCAGGGAGTGGTATGACAGCCATCACAGGAGTAAAATGGACAGTGCAGACTGGGTATAGAGGCAGTGAGCAATGCTCACTTAGTCAGCAATGCTTTCCTGGGCCACTTAGTCCTACGGTGAGCCAATAGTGTAACTCTTGATGAGACCAGGAAACAAAGCCTCACTGCAGGAAAATAGAGTACCTGGAAAGAGCTGAGAAGATCAAGTCTAAGGTGGTCATGCCAATGAGTGCTTCAACTGGGAATAGTTCTCATAACTAGAACCAGTTTGGACCAAGAAGCATTAGCTGAGAAAAATCAAGGTAGGTTCTGACATCCCTTTAGAATAAAGAATGGGAAAAAATGAAAATGAGGACCAGAGGATACAGTCACTAAAGATCGTTTTTCTAGGGTGACTAATACCATATAAATCAAGAAGAGGATGTTGAGTTACTATCTGTAGACAAAACAATCAACAAAGGAAAGTTAAAACATGTAAGAACCAGTTCTTCAATGAACAATACAAAATAGAAATTACATAATACAATCCAAAAGATAAAATACTTAGAGCTGGGGGAGATAGCTTGGCAGTCTAAGTGCCTGCCTGGCAGCTGCAATGACTTGATCCCCAGTACATGCTGTGCCAGCCCCAGAACCCTGAGCACACTGTGCCAGCCACAGAAACCAGGAGTAGTGGCACAAGCCTATAATCCCAGCGCTGGGGAGACTGAGGCAGGATGATCACTACAAGTCTGAGCTGCATATAGTGAGACGCTGTACCAAATAAAAAAATATAAATGAACAGATTTTTTAGAGTGGACCTGACAATGATAGCTCAGCAGACTAAAGCGCCTGCACAGGCAGAGCGCAGCAGCTGGAGTTAGATCCCCGCAGTACCATGCTAGCCTGGCCCACAGGGTGCAAAGAGACAGCAATTGAGACTGGGTGTGGTGGGGCATGCCTGCAATCCCAGCACTTGGGAAGCTGAAAACAGCATGATCACTATGAGTCAGATCTACATAGTGAAACTCTGTAGACCCTGTCCTAAATACAGAAAAAAAAAATAGATAAATAAAATACATATTTTTTTAAATTTAAAAAAAGATAAAATACTTAAAAATAAATGTGTAACAAAAAAATAAAATACTTGTACCCTGAAAGTTATAAAACAATGTTGAAAGAACTAAACAAGAAAAATAAACAAGCATCCCATATTCATGAATGGAAAGACCTCATATTGTTAACAAAGTGATAATATCCAAAATGATTTACAGATTCAGTATAATCACTATCAGTATTCTGTATCTTTTGCAGAAATGAAAATACAGATCTTTAAAATTGATATCAAACTACAAAACCGCCCTAAACAGGAAAGACAATCATTAAAAAGAATACAATTTCTAGGTTCAAAAATCACTACAAATCTATTTTAATCAAAACAGTATG